CGTGCGCGTGCGCGTGTGCGTGCGCGTGTGCGTGTGCGTGTGCGTGTGCGTGTGCGTGTGCGTGTGCGTGTGCGTGTGCGTGTGCGTGTGCGTGTGCGTGTGCGTGTGCGTGTGCGTGTGCGAGTGCGTGTGCGTGTGCGAGTGCGTGTGCGTGTGCGTGTGCGTGTGCGTGTGCGTGTGCGTGTGCGTGTGCGTGTGCGTGTGCGTGTGCGTGTGCGTGTGCGTGTGCGTGTGCGTGTGCGTGTGCGTGTGCGTGTGCGTGTGCGTGTGCGTGTGCGTTTGCGTGTGAGTGTGCGTGTGCGTGTGCGTGTGCGTGTGCGTGTGCGTGTGCGTGTGCGTGTGCGTGTGCGTGTGCGTGTGCGTGTGCGTGTGCGTGTGCGTGTGCGTGGGCGTGGGCGTGGGCGTGCGCGTGCGCGTGCGGTAGCGCGTGTGCGTGTGCGTGTGCGTGTGCGTGTGCGTGTGCTTGTGCGTGTGCGTGTGCGTGTGCGTGTGCGTGTGCGTGTGCGTGTGCGTGTGCGTGTGCGTGTGCGTGTGCGTGTGCGTGTGCGTGTGTGTGTGTGTGTCTGTGTCTGTGTTTGTGTTTGTGTTTGTTCCCCACATCTTTGTGTGGGGTTCTTATTTTTACCGCTGCGCGCCCGACTCCCGCCGCCGCGCCCGACCCCCGCCGCCGCGCCCGACCCACTCACTCACACACACTCCGCGCCCGACTCCCGCCGGTGCCGCCCCGTCGCTCTCACTCACTCACACACACACTCACTCACACACACTCACTCACACACACTGACTCACACACACTCAGTCACACACACTCACTCACTCACACACACTCACTCACACACACTCACTCACACACACCCGCTCACACACACACACTCACTCACTCACACACACTCACTCACACACACTGACTCACACACACTCACTCACACACACACACACTCACTCACACACACTCACTCACAAACACTCACTCACTCACACTCACTCACACTCACTCACACTCACTCACTCACTCACTCACTCACCCGCACAAAGTCACACCCGCTCACACACACTCACTCACACACACTCACGCACACACACTCACTCACACACACCCGCTCACACACACACACTCACTCACTCACACACACTCACTCACACACACACTCACTCACACACACTCACTCACACACACTCACGCACACACACTCACTCACACACACCCGCTCACACACACACTCACTCACTCACACACACTCACTCACACACACTCACTCACACACACTCACTCACACACACTCACTGACACACACTCACTCACACACACTCACTCACACACACTCACTCATGCAGATGCCAGTGCTGCGTTTGTGTGGCAGGGGCACCTGGGCTTGCGTTTGCATGGCAGGGGCAGCGTTTGGGAGCTGTCTAAAGGGCTGGGATGTTGTGGCGCGCGCGGCTGTGGGCCCCCATCTCGCGTGGCAGGCGCAGGACTTTGGACAGGCAAGTGCTGAAATCGTGGCAGGCGCAGTACTTCGTGCGCCTGGGCTTGCGTTTGCGTGGCAGGGGCAGCATTTGGGAGCTGTTTGAAGGGCTGGGGTGTTGTCGCGCGCGCGGCTGTGGGCCCCCATCTCGCGTGGCAGGCGCAGGACTTTGGAGATGCAAGTGCTGAACTCGTGGCAGGCGCAGTACTTCGTGCGCTGGGAGCTGTTTAAAGGGCTGGGGTGTTGTCGCGCGCGCGGCTGTGGGCTCCCATCTCGCGTGGCAGGCGCAGCACTTTGGACAGGCAAGTGCTGAACTCGTGGCAGGTGCAGTACTTTGTGCACCTGGGCTTGCGTTTGTGTGCCAGGGGCAGCATTTGGGAGCTGTTTAAAGGGCTGGGGTGTTGTCGCGCGCGCGGTTGTGGGCCCCCATCTTGCGTGGCAGGCGCAGCACTTTGGAGATGCAAGTGC